TAGAAATATAAATATGAAAAAGATTTGTTTCCTGTTCTTTAAGGAACAAATAACCTAGTAGAAGAGAGGAGACATGAGACAATAATGCAAAATTAGATATAACATGTAGGCTGCAGAGGTACAACATACTGTGAAGGAGTTTATTTATTGTATATTATGGAAGTCCTTATGGAGAAGGTCAGATTTTCCCAGACCTGCACAATGACCATTATCTCCTAGAAGGTCAGAATAGAACAATGATAGATCTTGTACATACAACATACATGCATATACAGTAATGACTTTTTAGTTAAAGTTAGCATTAAATAAGCTAGATGTACGTCACTGGATACCCTTTATTGGCAAACAACAGATTATTGTTAATAACAACAGTAACAATAATAAGACCATCTACATAGTGCTAACTATGTGCCAGGGACTGTGCAAAGTGCTTTACAAATATTATCTCATTTGGTCCTTACAACAATCCTGGGATGTAGGTGCTATTATTTTCATTTCAATTTTGCAATTGAGGAAATTGAGGCAAATAGAGGTTAAGTGACTTGCCTATGGTCACCCAGCTGGTAGATATCTGAGGTTAGACTTGAACTCAGATCTTCCTGACTCTAGACCCAGTGTCCTATCCTATAGCCCACCTTGCTGCCAAGGAAATGAGTTCCATTGATACTATTTAGAGAAGTAGATCTGTGATGTATCTTCCCACACCTCCCATTATCACTTATTTCTCCTCTTCTGGTACTTTATTCTACCTTCTTCTTATTTATTAATTTTTGATTTGTTTTCCATTTCTCACAGATTGCTAGAGGCTGCATGGTAAAGTGAAAAGAGCTAAGACTTGGAGTTAACTCATAGCAACCAACTTTTTCCTAGCAGAAATCTGGACCCCAAGGGAAGGGAATCAGTTCTTTATAAAATTGGTTCTGGTACGGCCTCTATCACTAGCAAGATATGGACTTTGGTAAATCAAGTAATTTCTCTCAGTCTCAGTTTCCTCATCTACAAAATGGGGCTAAAAAACTCTTGTTGGCCTATGTCATATGAGATGATGTGCATCAAGGAGGCTGTAAACTATAGAGTGCTTGATATCTACAATTGCCAATGTCTCTAGAAGTCAGTTGTTGGAGGATCAATGAAGTGACTTGAAGGCTTCCAAAATTTCCCCACAGTTCCCAATTCTTCTCCTATTGCTCTGACACAGGACCTGAAATCCTTCCTTTTCCCATTTCTTCTTAAAGTCTTGTTTAAGAAATTTCATTTTTAGAGGGCAGCTAGGTGGTGCAGTGGATAGAGCACTGGCCCTGAAGTCAGGAGGACCTGAGTTCAAATCTGGCCTCAGACCAAACACTTGACACTTAATAGCTGTGTGACCCGAGCAAGTGACTTAAGCCCAATTGCCTAAAAAAAAAAAATTAAAAAAAAAAAAGAAAGTTCATTTTTAAGAGATTAAGGTGTTTAGGGATAGAGTAGGAAAAATACATGTTAGTTAAAATGTTAACACTGGTCTATTTTAAAGTTTAGATAAATTTATTTGACTTCAATCCTTTGTAACCATTGTCGTCTAGCCCTGAGGGAATCGAATATGGGTCAGAGAAGCCTATTAAATGGGATATGACTGATAAGTCAAGAACAGAAGTTGGGAAGAGAGTAGAGCATTGGTGGGCTGGCAGATGGAGAGGATTGGAAACAGAAAAGCATTACAGTAAAGACAAATTGTGGTTAAATTGAAAGTTTTTCCCAGGGCTGGCTGTGACTTTATGTAAGGTTAAGGAGAATAAGAATTCTCAATCCATATAATTATGCTGCATCAATAGTGATTGCTTGCTTACTACATGAAAACTGGCACCTTTGAATCACGATTTGGGACCCTACTGATTAACTCTCAATCATATAGACAAACTCTTAGTTCAAATATATTGAACACTCTAGAATTAATAAATGGTTGTTCATCTGTTGCCTCTGATGTTGCCTTCTCATAGGGAAAATGATGCTCAGAGGTTAAGTGACTGGTCCAAGGTATCAGAGTCAGTCAGGCAGATCTAGTACTTGAACTCAGGTCCTCTTCTCTGACTTTAAAACCAGACCTAGTATTACTTCTTATATGAAAAGTACTCAAGGAAATGGAAAGAAGGAAAAAAAAAACATTACAGAGGCTCCTAGGTCAAATAATAAGTTAGGTTGCAAAATTTTTTCATTTGCAGAGTTTCACTTGAAAAAGCTGTATTTTAGTGCTGTAAGGTTGGGAGAACTATAACCACAGGTTTTCAGAAATGAGTTTAGAATATTTGTCCTAGGCTCTGCCCTATTGTACTATTCTGTGGTTCTCATCTGCCATCTGCAGCAGGCTTTACTCTGCTGGACCCTCTTCAAATGAGATTCCACTTCACATGTTTTCTAATTCAAAACTAATTTCACTGAGAGCTAATCTGACCATAAATGTGGTGTGTATTTTATTCCATTGTGGTTTCGATTTGCATAATTCAAAAGAAGATGAATTTTTCCTCCCCTTTGGCCACAAATTAACCTCTCAGAGTGCAATAGGCATGATTTCCCAATTAAAAAGAGAGCCACTGAAGGGGGCAATAATAACAACATGAATGAGGAATAACCACATTTGCAGGGAAGCAGCAAGGCAAGGGGGATGGGGGTGGAAAGAGTGGAGGGTTTGTTTGTGCATGAAAGACCTACTCTATAGTGTTCATATCACAGACACTTTAGGTGACCCACCCTTCCCCTTCAAATGGGATGCACATCACCACAACTATTTCACCTATGAAATGAGCAGATGTTTCTCTGTGTTAGCATAAGAAGGCAGGCTGTCTAGCCAAATAGTAGGAAGTGGGATGGAACAGGTGCAGGCTTGGCTTTGTGAAACACATTGGTGCTTCCGTTTTGTTGGGGGCCACCATTAGCCAGTATACTTAAGCAGTAGGGAGTAGTGGATATTACTGGTGTTTTTGCCTTATTCCAGCCTCCATAATTCTGTCTTTTAAGACTGCAAGGGGAAAGAAAGAAGAAATAAGGTAGGAGGTTCAGCTCAGGGACAGCAAGATTACAGTGTCCAGGACCCACAGGTACTTTCCTGTTCTAAGGTATCATTGAGCTCTGCTCTCATGCCACCTATTTGGTTAAGGTCCCTAGTGAGGCCTGTCTCATGTGTGTCTTCTTTACGACATCTAGTATATCAGAATTGAAAAGTGGGTTGAATGTCCTAGCACATGACCTACAAATGGGAAACTGACTTGAGCTTAGCTTTGCTGGGTGTCTGAGCTGATATTCTTGAGACCACTTCCTTTCCCTTATATATTTCTGTGCAAAAAGTCAGGCACCCTATTACTCTCAGAGTTTTCACAGAAACCCATCTTTTACTTAACTCTGTAGTGACTGAGTAGCCATCATCACAGATTTTAGAGTTAGAAGGGACCTTCATGCCCATATAATTCAACTTGCATCCCTGAAAGAATCCTCACTCTAAGAGACTCAATAAAGAGTTGACTAGACTGCTTAAAGTTCTATAATAAGACAGAGGCCTCCTCTTCCTGAGTTCACCCATTCCACGTTAGGACAGCTCTGCTTATTAGTAAGTTTGTCTTGAATATCAAGACTAGGTTTTTTTTCATCTTCCACCCACTTTTTCTAGTTCTGCCTTCTGGAGCCATGCAAAATCAGTCTATATGATAGCTCTTCAAATATTTCAGGACAGCTATCATGATTCTTTGAGTTTTCTCTTCTCCAGGTTAAATATTCTCAGTCCTTTTAGTGTATCTTCATGTAGCACTGGCTCAACACCCTTCACCTGGTTGAACTTCTCTGGGTGTTTTCCTGCCATGCCCTTCTTATAGTGGGATACAGGTTATCAAAAGACCAGGGCTAGATTTTACTTCTTACTGTACCAACTTTTTTTAGCACTATTATGATTTCACCCATTGCTATTTTTAATAATATACTTTTAATAACATACTTGTTTTTGAGAGTTTTGGACTCATATTATCTTGAGATGACAGAATTTAATTCTTAATTTTTTTGATGAAATGACTTGTGACAAGTCTAAGGCAGTCCAGATCTATAACACAAAATATAGAAGAGAGTTGGCAGTTAGCCAGTTCATTTTGATTAATGCATATAGTCAATATAGATTATCCAGGCCTCAGGGTTTATATTTTATCTTAAGTGACCTAGTTTCTCTGACTACATGGACTAAATTTTACCACTTACTTTGCACAGTATGGAAGCTGCCTATGAATATTCTCAGATGTTATACATAGTGGGAAACATTCACTTGGGCTTTGGTGATGAGGATGAGTGTTGAATGCTCAATTTCAGATGAAGGGTTCGAATTTTTGCTCTTATTTGATGGATCTTTTGAAGCATACAGTATGTCAGGACAACATCAAACACTGTGTCATCACCAAATTTGAAATGAATTTTTAATGGTCATTAATACTGTGTATGCCTTAATAATCCTTTCTTATCTTGACTTGTTATTCCAGACTGAGTAGAGGAGTTAGGACAATTTCTGTAATGCTGATGAAAATGTGTAACATTTTGAATTGAAAGTATGATTTACTTTGTTTATGGAATAAGTATAAACTAGACATGAAGTATATTGCTGTTTATGACTTGGAGAGTAATGAGAGACTCCAAATTAATTAACTGTAAAATGTGAATAGTCGAGTTAAAATTCATTTTAAATGAAGCACATTCAAAAAGCTAAGAAGAGAGCAATGCTCAAGTGTATTCTTGGAGGATGATTTTCTGTGCCCAGGGTGACTTTTTTATTCCTGTCATTTAAATTGCAGCATTTCTCCGCACCTATATTACTACAATCTATTGATGGAAATATGATTTGTAACTCACTTTGACATGCAGGAGATTCTGTTTCAGAGTTGTAGAAATGACCTATAATGTGATGGATGCTCTTCCTTGTCATATTTCTGGGAAGCATTCAGTTTGGACTCATAATTTACTCGTGAAATCAATCGCACTGGCCTGTGTAATTTCAGAGTCTCCATGTAGAAACAGCCAAGAACCTGCACTCACAGCAAGCAACTGCCGCCTTGAAATTACCAGTTAGTTGTCAAATTGATTTGACCCATCCGGAGACAGAGCAGGATGTGATCAGGACAACTGCATTAGCAGAAACCAGAGTGATGAGAGGTCAGTTAAGCAATATGATTTCATTTGTTAATATGCCACAGTCTAACCTTGAATTTGACAAATGCTGAATTTGCAGGCATTTTGTTCCCCCCATTACTTCAACTAGAATGGGAACCTCAGGCAAAGTGAACCTCACGATCCTAAATGTCCTGTAGAAATGTCAGTTCTGATAAAAGGTGAGTATGTCCGAGGATTCAATAGTAATGTTAAACTGTGCTCATGTAAGTGACATGCATATTCACTATTTTCCAGGAATAGACACATAGAGAAGGGCAAACTTTATCTATGCTTGCTTCATCTATGGTCATCCTGGCCAAGGAAAATGTTCCTATTTGAGATTGCTGATTCAGCTATGGTAATAAAGTTTTAGTATTTTTATTTAAAATGTGACAAGAATGATTAATGGGTTGGAAAAAGGTGTCTTATGAGAAAAGGTTCTTTTTTTTTGTTAGAAAAAGGTGGAAGTGAAGGATTCTGATGACAGCCTTTGAGCGTATGCTCAGTAATTGTCCAAAGGATGATAATCAGGGGCTTACCATCTGAGGGTAGAACAAGAGAAAACAGGCTCACAAAAAAAGAGGAGAGCCTCTAGGCTAGCTATAAAGGAGCTTTGAGTGTTCAAGCCTAAAATGAAGGACCAAAAAAAGTGCTTTCCTAGAAATTCCTCTTCTCCTCTTCACAATGAATGGTAGTCCTGGCTCTCCATAGGTGGAATAAAAGCCTGAAGCTACTTTTACCTCATTAATGCCTGTATACTCCCATACATAATTCCAAGAAAACCTAAAAACAACAAATTGATCTTTTTTTTTCCCCCAAGCATACAATTTGCTCCTTCTCTCTTGGTTTTCTAGTTTTTACACATTCCTTTCCCCACTTCCTCAGTTTTGTATCATTACATTTCCCTTCCTCCATCCCACAAGGGCATGTCAAAGTCAATGCAGTGGATATTATGCTCCTGAAGTATTCCTGCACCAAAACCAGTCCATATAAATTAGGTTCTTTTATGTAGTGAGCTTACTGACTTCTGATACTAACATAAAAATATCCCATAGAGCTTTCCTTATTACCTTATCATTGGATCTCTCTGACTGACAAAAATGAAATTCTGCAAAAGACTTTGAAAACCAAACAGATTGCATTTCCTTCAAGTTCCAAATACTAATCAAGTGTGAATTTAAAAGAAACAGCTACCAGCTTAGAAATTGATGTTGCGTGTTGAGTCTTAGGGCTTTATTTATGCATTGGCAATATCTTTTTTCTTAAAAGTATTGATCCTGAAAGGTGCCAGATACACAATTCCCAAGATCAAAGTTCTGCATTTCAGTCATAATAAACTGTATAGTGCAAGGGTGGGGAACCTGCGTCCTCAAGGCCACATATGGCCTCGAGGTATAGTCTATTCTCTCTCTGTTTTATGGGTTTACAGAAGGAGACTCTAGGTCTGCAAGAGACTGCTCCCACTGAATCCCTCCAATTGTGTATGCTGGGAGGGTTAGTACAGATCCAGAAACACATGCAGTTCATTGCTATTTGAAACATAACACCTTTAACTGCAACAGAATAAGACAAGAGGGAATTCAATGGCAATGAGAAAGATCTCTTAATTTTAGTCAAGAAATTAAGGGAAAGATTCTTGTTGTTGTTCAGTCATTTCAGTCATGTTTGACTCTTTGTAACCCCATTTGGAGTTTTCTTGGCAAAGATACTGGAGTGGTTTAACATTTCCTTTTCCAGCTCATTTTACAGATGAGGAAACTAAGAACAACCGGGTTAAGTGACTTGCCCAAGGCCACACAGCTAGTAAATGTCTGAAGCCAGATCTGAACAAAGGAAGATGGAGTTTTCCTGACTCCAGGCCTAGCTGCCTGGATACTTTTTTTTCTAATGTAAGATTCCAAAGGTGTAACTCTGGGCTGTGCTTTTATTTACTTCTACTAACAATAAGATCTAACATCTTTATTTTGCCTTATACTTTATGAAGGACTCTTCTTGACGCTTTGTGAGGCAGGTGATACGTTATCATCCTCATTTTACAAATATGGAAATTAGAGGTCAAAGGGATTAAGTCATTTGTCCAAGGTCACAGATCATATAACTGATGGAGCCAGGATTCAAAACTAAGACTTGATTCTAAGGCTAATACTTTTTCCATTGTATCACCCTATGCCAGCTCTTGTGACTCATATCCTTTTTATGGTTATATTTGAAAAGCATTATAACCTTCTGAAATTACCAATATTCACTAATATGATAATAATAACACACTATCCACATTCTCCAGCCCTTCCCTTATAGAGTCAAAATGAAACCTTAGTGATATGCTCCCCATATCATTAGAGTAAAGCTACGCTTATCCAATACCCATTAACCAGTAATTCAGTGGTAAATGATTTATCTAATCAATTATCTCACATAATGGAAAAAAGAAACTATTGTATTGTAATTTTCTCATTTTAACCGGGTCACAGAATTTCAGAGGGAATAGCGATCTCAGAGTCCATCTAGTCTAACCTCTAATTAAATAAAAATCATTTTTACTGTATTTCTGACAAATGGTCTTTAAACTATCACTTCAAGGCCTCCAATGATAGAAATCCACTATCTCCTATTTTAGACAGTTCTGTATTTTAAAAAAAAATTTTTTCCCTATATTGGACCAAAATCTACTTGGCTGCAAATTATCCTAGTTCTACCCTCTGAGGCCAATCAAAACGGTCCAATTCTTCTTCCACATGATGACTCTTCAAATGCTTGAACACACCCATCAGGTTCACACTGGGTCTTCTCCAGGATAAACATTCTCCCTTTATTTTTTTAATCTATCTCTTATGCAGTAGATTTTGATCCTCTTCAAATCTTGGTTACCCTCCTCTGGACTTGCTCCAATTTCAGTGTCTTTCCTAAAAAGTACTTCCCGGAACTAGACAAAATACTCCAGAAGCGGTATGATCAGGAAAAAGTATAGAGACATTACTATTTCTCTTTTATATTTTTATCATGCCTCTTTTTGGCTTCCGTGTCACAGTACTTCTTGATGATGGGCTTTGAAGTTTGTTAAAAGCCCTAGTTGTTTTTTTTTTTTCATATTACTGTAGTTTTATGTTACCTCCTCTATCTTATACTTGGGTAGCTGATTTTTTTTAACCTAAGTGTATTCACATTTTTTCCTGTGAAAATTTATCTTCTCTACTAAAATCCTACTTGGATGCCTCATTGTGATTTGAAGATGGTCATAGGTTCTTAAAGCCCATGCCAGCTATGCACAAGGTCTGGCAAGTCCTACCAAATTGGGCAAAGAACAATTTACAATATTGACATTATGTCACTTGGCCAAGGACCAACCTAGCTAATTTCAGAAAGGCTCATCCCTAGTTTGATCATAGGATAATATATTTTTTTTTTTTTGCCACAGAAACTCTCCAAACTCACACATTAAATTATAGAAAAATTGTAATCTGTATTGAAGGATACCTATACTGACAAAGTTTCAGGTCCTTGATATATAGAAGTAAATTACTTCTTATTTAATTTTGAGCTCTTTCTAGATACCTGTTTTGGTTTCTAATACATTAGCTGTCCCTCCCATGTTCCCGTCATTGGTTAAAATGAACAACTCAAGGATGAGGAAAGATTCCTCAGACATTCCATTGGAGATCTTCCCCCAAACTAGAATCTATCAGTGTTCATTGGGTCTAGACATTGGTGACATATAAAAAAACTTGAGAGACATAGTTTCTGGGTAATTAATCATTTTATTAATTATGTTAGCAAGTAATAAATAAAAGGGGTCAGTGGCACTCTTGGCCAAAGACCTCTCATGGAACCCACTCAGTGCTTATATGTCCTTGGAAGAGTGGGCATCCCTGAGGGTGGCAATCAATTCTTATTGGTTTACAATTAATGAGAAGAATAAATATTATAATGAGGGAGGAAATCTAAGGAGGATATGGGGGACTTGACTTTGATCACTCTTGCTCTCAGACCACCCCCAGACCTGGGCAGTCTAGACAAAGGATCTACCCCCCCACCCACCCAAGCCTGAGTAGAACACAATGGGCTTCCTCACTTGGATAGGGTCTGAACAAGATTAAGGAGAAAGTTAATCCAGTCTCATTATCAGCAATGTCCTTCAGATGCTGGCTTGACTGAGTAGAGAATGAGGATATAGGAAAGGAAAAAACCCTGGATCTCCCCAATAATTTGTTACTTAATATTCATTTCTCTCACATTCAAATAGTTCTGAGCCCAAGTAAGCAAACTGTCATTGAACCCACATTTCTCTTTCTTATTCCTAAAGACCGCATGAGAGAGTTTGCCAAATGGCTTTGTGAAATCCAAGTATATCATGTCTATGCCAGTCCTTTGATCTACCAATTTATTAATTCAATTCAATGAGCATTTACTAAGTACCTACTGCATTATAGGCACTATACTAGGTATTATAGACACAAAGACAAAATTAAAAAGTTCCTGACTTCAAGGAGCTCATATTTTATTGTTAAAGATGAAAAGAGTTTAGTGCGGCATGATTATGACCTGTTCACGATGAGGTTAGACTGGAACTGAATGATCACTACTTCTCTTTTTAAATTCTCACAAACCATCCCTTTAATGATATATTCTAGAATTTTAACACCATAAGACCATAAATTAAGAGCTAGAAGGGATCTTAGACACTATTGAGGACAACCTCCTCATTGTACATAAAGTTTAATTAATTTGCCTAGAGTTACATTATTAGTGTCTGAGGTAGGATTTGAATTTGTCTTCTTGATCTAAATCCCATATCCTATGTACTACACAGTGCTGCAGCCCAAATCAAGTCCAGGGTCTAAATAAAGCTCAATAACCTCTATTTTGAAGAATCTATTATTGTTGTTTTTCTTTTTTCAGTTGTGGCTAACTCTTTGTGACCCCATTTGGGATTTTCTTGGCTAAGATACTGGAACTATCTGTCATTTTTTTCTCCAGCTCATTTTACAGATAAGGAAACTGAGACA